AATAAGTTCATAAATTTTGTTTAAAAAAAATTCTTATTGTTACAAACAAGCTTTGCTCCAACGTGTTCTGCAAAGAGATTCATCAATTTTGTTTTAAAACATTCTTATTGTTAAAAAAGATCTTTGCTGATATATATATATATATATATATATATATATATATATATATATATATATATATATATATATATATATATATATATATATATATATATATATATATATATATATATGTATACACATATATATATATATATATATATATATATATATATATATATATATATATATATATATATGTATACATATATATATATATATATATATATATATATATATATATATATATATATATATATATATATATATATATATATATATATATATATATATATATATATATATATATATATATAATATATATATGTATGTATATAAATATATATATATGTATATATATACATATATTTATATATATATATATATATATATATATATATATGTATATAAATATATATATATATGTATATATATACATATATTTATATATATATATATATATATATATATATATATATATATATATATATATATATATATATATATATATATATATATATATATATATATATATATATATATATATAATATATGTATGTGCTTTGCATAAACCATTAAACCTTGTGATATTCTTGTGTTGAAGATTTTTATCTTTTATTATATTCCAAATAATGTTTTTATAAGATTTGTTGCTAGTAAAATAGCTACAAAATAGCTATTTTATATTTTATATTTAAATTATATTTTATATTAGCTACAAAATAATTTATCTTATATTTTTTTATAATGAAATAAGGTTAGACACAACTGTATTAAGCATTGATCTTTTTTAATGTAAATATTTCAATATAGACTTTTGTCTTCTTCAGAAGAAAAAGTTGATTTCTTTGAGTTAAGCTTTAGTATTATGAGAAACTGCTACATTCTGCCTAAAGAAGGATTTTCCAATAACTGGTTGATTTATTGAAGGTAGTAAACCTGTCGATCCAACAAAAAATTTATCTGATATCGAATTTTAGTATTAGTTATAACATATTATAACTAAAGATATACTTTTTTTTATAATTTGTAAAACTTTTCCTCATGATTCTTTGTTTTAAACATCATCATCGGAAGAAAATATTTCAAATAGAAAAAGATTTTTACTTCTTCGAGAAGTTCCAGAACCAAATATGTAACAATTAAGACGAGGCATTTGCGAAAATCAAGGATAAATCAATAATCTTCTTGTAAATATTCTTCTTAATGCGCATTTGTTTACAAAAAGTGTGCATTCATTGGTAGACTGGGTTCTAAAAAAAAGCTAACAATAAGATAAATAATAGCGCTCTTAAACTGGCCGGACTATGTATATTATGACTATGAATCTACTTATTATAATGATTGGATCACTTTTAGCTGTTGCTGAAATCATCCATATTTATAATATCTTTCTTGAATATTATTCTAGTTCATCACATTTATAACTGTCTTGAAGTTTTTATATAGAGTGTCATTCTGGAAAATTGCTTCAATAAGCATTAATGGAATCATAACTTGGCTTATATCTCAACAGCAATGAGTTTGGTGTCTAGATTTATATGAATTTGCATAACAACTCTTACATTCAACACAAATCTTAAGACTATCACCATCAATATCTTTAGCTTTTCTTTCTCTAATAAACTTTGGAATTTTTTTTTCATTTTTAATAAATTTGTTTAAAAATTTAATTTTAAAATGTAGAGAAAAAGCTTATACCTTTTCTTTCTTTTAGGAAGTAAAAAGCGTTTACCACAGCTTTTATCTACTCTCTTTCAGGAAGAAATGTAGCTTTTATCATAGCGGCTCAATTTCGTTAAAAACTTTTAAATGTTGTGTCAAAGCAACATGAGTTTTACCATTTTTACAAAATGGGAGTGTGAATTTTCTTTTTAAAATATATATACTTTTTAATAACTTTTGAATTACTTTTTTTATAACTTTTAATAACATTTTTAAAACTGGTTTTAATTGGTTCTATTATTGGAGTAAATTGACTCAGTGTCAGCATATACTTGAGGTAAAAAAAACTCTGGAGTCCTAAAAACTTTAAACGAAAAAACATTGTAAATCCAATCTTTAATACATTATTGATATTAAAGAAAAAGTGATACACAATAACTAAGCTGCTTCTAATTCATGTTGTCAAAAGTTTAATTAAGTATTAGAAGTATACCTACAAATGAACTTTTGATTTTTTAAGGCTAGATTTTGTTAATACTATGTACAAAACCTTAGAGTAAACCTTATCATAGTTATAAAGGACTAGTAAAAAGTGCATCATTATTTATTAAAAAACTATAATTATTTTATTTACAAGTAACAAATTAAAAAGGACAATGAAAGACTGCCTATATGCAGTATGAATATGGTTGTATAATACTTACCTATATATTAGTAATTATTGATTTCAATAGTTTTCACTAAATTAAAGTCATTAAATAAATGTAAGTAAGGTGGTAGAAATAGTTTTAACGTAACACAAACATATTTTTAATATAGTCTAGAAATACTGTCTAAAGATATCAATATTTATAAAGTTTTTTTTACCATATTCCTTTTTGTCTACATTCTGTTATAAAATAGTTAAATAGTTAATTAAAAAAAAAGTAATATAATTTGACTTAATACAAAAAGAGTAAGACTTCATACAAAAATATAAAGTCTATCTGAGGCAAATTTAAAAATAATAAAATAAAAAATGCATCTATATTATTAAATGAAAGCAGTGTTGATTTTAAAGATAGGAAAAACTAATGATTTAATGATATATTAATATTATAATCTAATAATATATTCTGAAAAACATGTTTGCTTTAAATAAATATAGTAAAAAGAAAAATATAGTCTAAAGTAAAAAGAAAATATACCAGTTGAAACTAGCAAGAAATAAGTAAATATATATTCATTTATATATATTTACATATTATCATTATATATATATATATATATATATATATATATATATATATATATATATATATATATATATATATATATATATATATATATATATATATATATAAGTATATTAGTATGTTATACTAGTATATATTAGTATATAAAAGTATATTAGTATGTTATATTAATAAGAAAACATCAACTAATAGGGTTTCTCTTAATAAAATTAATAGTTTATTAATAAAAACTATTGCTGGATTATGGATATCAGCATCATTAGCTCGTAAAAAATATACAATATATCTTTGTAATGCTAGGAACAGTTTAAAGTTAACCGACGTCAGCATTTGAATGGCATTTTTTTACATTTCTGCTTACGTAAAAATGTAACAAACGGAGTCTAAAATTTAGTTTTCACAAATGCCTCTTATCTAAACTAATTCCGCCATGTAAAGTGAACTTTGGAACCACTGTATTTTAAGAGTTACGCCCACTTATTAATCAAATTTTTGTTTCAACTTTTTTTTTGTATTTTTTTAGTGGAGAACATCGTGGCGAACAGACGCGTTTTTCTTAGACAGAAAAAAAAAATTTTATAAAACGTTTATAAAACTTTAAGTAAAAACTATGAAACTCAGCTTTTAACAACATCACTATGTGGTAAATACACAATTCGAAGGATTTATATTCACAATTCTGTTTGCTGCATTTAATCGGACAAAATTGTTTTGTTCAAAAGTGGTAAAAAGTAACCGTTACAATTGTCACGCTACTAAGATTTAGTTTATGAAAAAAGTTGAAGACTTCAATGCTGTAACTTTTACATACATAATTTGTTTAATTTATGAAAAAAGTTGAAGACTTCAATGCTCTAACTTTTACATACATAAATTGTTTAATAGCATTTCACATTCTGATAAGTTTTAAGTCATTTTTATTTTTAGTTCATTTTTAATAAGTTAAAGAGTGTCAAATGTTATGACCGCCACTCTCTTAGATTTGCATATATGTATATACAAATATTAAAGTGTGCATATATATATATATATATATATATATATATATATATATATATATATATATATATATATATATATATATATATATATATATTTTGCTTTTTTAATAGTTCAAAGTTTCAGAAAATAAGTTTTTTTTATATGATAGATTAATTGTCTAAAAACTAAACCCTTAGCCAAATAGCGTCACTTTCCCATATTTCACTTATGAGAGAGTTTAAGCATACAAGGGTTATGTCAAGGTAGTAGTAGGAATACAAAAGAATATCTCGTAAATAAATAAACAGTCTTTGAGAAACTTCTTTTCTAACGCAATGTGTTCAAAACGTACGCTTGAAATCATATTTCCTTTTACTGCCTAACCTTGTACGTGACATTTATCAAACAATTATCAGCTTCATATATCATACCTTTTGGTTTGAACAACATTTATTAATACTTTTGGTTTTTATTTAATATTTTTGGTTTAATAATAGTTAACATTTTTGTAACTCCTAATGTAATCTCTAAAATGAAAGTAAATTTTAATGCAGAATTTATAGAAAGATTGCGTTGTATTTGTTGGGCAGAAGTTTTTTTGGAATTGTTTTAATTTGTTTTTAAAATTGTTTTTGGAAATACTAAAAACTTAAAATAATGTCATGAAAATAATTGACTTAAAACTCGCATGTTAAAACATTAATGCTTAACGTCTTTTAAATTTGCCGTGGTAGCAAACTTGCTAGCGTTTGTATTTACACCGCCTGGAGATATCGCGTGTATGCTTAAACATTCTATTGATATCTCGATACCGCAGCACTCCATGCAATTTTGAGTTTGTTTTACCTATTTCATAGTCACTCTCCATAAGAATGACCTCCTCAAGTTTATTTTACTTATGTATGTAAACAATAAAATTTTGATTTAATTAAAAGTGTCTTATAATGTTAAAACTATGTACAGCTTGAAAGTTTTGGTAAATAAATAAGATGCGTAATTAACTCTTCAATAAATTTATAGTTTTAGTTTTGTTTTGATTGAAAGCTTAACAAGTCCAAAGATGAACCAAAGAAATAATCGGTTTTTAAATCCTCAAAGACGTCAAAATCAAGAGACGCAACCACAAATACCTGCAGTGCAAGAAAATAGATTGAGACAAGCTAGGGAACAATCACAAACTGTATGATCAACTCTTTTTTCTGTTTTTGTTTTGTTTTGTGTTTAGTCTTCGTTTATTTAAGGTTAAATAAGTTTTTACATAAACTTTAATATAAAGTGTTAGCTATATTATTTTGAATATATATTTTAATATCAATTTTATGTTTCCCACAAGATTACTTAAATCTGAACGATTTTGTTAGTTTCAGGTATATAGTCAAAGTGTTGCAAAAGATGATTGCGAAAAGAAAAGCTCAGTTACTTGTATAAGTTGCAGTGGTCATTTTAATCAAAATGATTTGGGCGTCAAATGTCCTCAAAATCATTTTATATGTCAAGAGTGTTCCAAAACTTATATAAACTCAATATTATCAAATCCACATGAAAACATGCCGCCATTATGCTCTATATGTAAAGTTGAAATAATTACATCTTCAATTCAAATGCTGTTAGATACCGAACAGTCGGAACATTTTAACAGTTTAATGCTATGCATTGTTATAACCAAAACAGAATTCACAAATAATGAAGTAGTTGTGCATTGCCCATTTTGCAAGTATTACGAAATACGCGACAAATCTGGAGTTAATTTTGTGTTTTGCTCAAACATAAACTGCAAAAAGCGTTCGTGCTACTATTGCCATTTAGAATGTCCTTATAAAAGTGATGAAAGTTATGACGAATATAATCAATATGGTGGAGATGAAAATGATGAAAATAACTTTCAAGATCCTGAAGCCAGAAAACATTTTGTGTGTGCTGAATTAAGTGAAACTAAAAAAACAATTGAGAAAGCGATCGAAGATGGTTCAAAAGTATATTGTCCGGATTGCGGATTAGGTGGTAGAAAAGATGATGCTTGCACACATATGAAATGCGTCAAATGTGAGCATGTTTATTGTTATTTTTGTGGTAAGTCTGAAAAAGTGTGTGAAAAAGAGCATAATATACCCTCTATTTATGGGCATAACAGTGATTGGCCAACAAACAAAAACAGATGCCCCATGTATCTAACTGAACTAAGTGATTACGATAAAAGATGGCCGGAAACTGATGACAAATGCTTGGATTTTTTTCATCGCTTTAAAATAATTTCTAATTTAAGAAAAGTTATTCAAGAAAACAACACAAATGATATAAATCGTGTTGAGGAAAAGTATCAATGTATTCAAAGTTCTGGATTTACAATAGAGCAAATTTTAAGTGAAGATTTAACATTAATTGATAGAAGCAAATAGAGTAATTAAAAATAAAAAAGAATAGAGATTTTAAAACATAAAAAAAACAATTTGTTCCATTCTTAACACAATAGATGCACTTTATTTGATTAACATTTATTCGATTGCAGAGTAAAAGTTAAGCCTAAAAAAAATCAACGTTTTTAATGAATAATTCTTTATTTTTTAATTTACTTAAGTTATAATTACTTTTTTTTCATTAAATTAAATTTATTCAAAGTTGACACAATTTTTTTTTTTACTGTGCTAGATTACCTGACAACATTTTATAGTTTTAACGATAAAGATTGTCCATATTTACAGATATAAATTTTTAAATATTTGATTTTATTTTGTTTTCATTTTTTTTTTACGGTAATTATGTTTCTAAATATATATATATATACATATATATATATATATATATATATATATATATATATATATATATATATATATATATATATATATATATATATATATATATATATATATATATATTTATATATATTTATATATATATATATATATATATATATATATATATATATATATATATATATATATATATATATATATATATATATATATATATATAAATATATTCTTGTTGTATAGATTAGTATTAAAAATACTAAACTCTTGATCGCTGTAGAGTGCCAAATTTTGAAGAAAAATATATCTTTTTAAAAACAGAGCGTTTTTTTCTAAAATTTAGAAAAACAACTTTTAATAGAACTTAATGCTTCATGCTTATCAGCAATCATCAGCCATGAAGTCCAAAGTTAAAAATAAAAAAAACTGTATAAAAATTACAAACTCCAGTAAAAGGAATTCTGACGTTATTATTGCAAAAAGACGTAATGAAAAACTAATCTTTGATATTAAATATTGAAAAGAGAAATTTATTTTTGTGTCTACCTTCTAGAAACAAAATGGCCCAACTTGTTTGTGTTTATCCAAGATAATAGTTAAAAGTTTTTGAGTGCTCATAATTTATTCAGGTTTTAATTGTTTAAATTTATATTTAAAGGAAATTTAACAAAAAATTATTATTGAATTAGTTTGGTTGAGCAAGTCAAAAAGGGGAAAAAGGCAAAAGAACTAAGTATCGATTCAGAGTATCGGTTGGTAGTGGCTTCCCAACTATTAAAACACACACTGATCCAATTCCAGCGAAGCAAAAAAGCGAAATGATTTTTAACCCGTACTTAAAATGATGTCGGGTGAGCCGTTGCAAATTAAACTTCTTACGGTGAGACCTTAAATGACACTCTACATAAGGCGCAGAGCATTAGAAAAGCAGCTAAAACCACTCCAATACAAATAATTAAGCAATAGCATAAATGTAGGAGTATCGATTTTAGGTATTAGTAGAGAGTGGCCTTTCTAAATATTTAAACAACACTGATCCAATTCCAGCGAAGCAAACAAGCTAAATGATCTTTAACCACCTTCAAACAATGCTGGATCAGCAGTTGCCCCTTTAGTGAGTTAAACTACTTGAGGCCAGACCTTAACCGACATTTCACATAAGTAGCAGAGCGTTAGAAGTTATCAACGTATATTAAACTCATTACTTATAACGCAAAAAATTGAGAGGAGGGGGGAGCTGTAAGAACATAGGCGCATTGGAAATAACACCATAGACACAGGTCAGTTTATTTGGCATGGAAAATTGCGTAACAAATAATGTTTAAGAAATAAGGAATAAACAATGCACAAATTTATAAGGACGTACTGAGAAAATGCGTGTATCTGGTTCAATTAGAAATGTGTATGCTTGCCTCGCTTACACAGTTTATAAACTTAATTTAAATAGAGGAACTTACAGTCTTAAATGAAGTGAATTTGAATTTAATATCGAAAAAAGTGAAAAATGTGAAAAAAGAATAATGGTTATCTTATCGACTCGACTGACTTAAATAGGGATTGGCGCAGCGGAGTGTGCATACATTGACTGACTTAAATAGGAATTGGCGCAATGGAGCTTAACTCGCAAGTGCAAAGGGTTTTGGTATGGGTAGGCAATCTATAAAAATTCTTTACTCAAAAAGGCTCGCTATTTGTGTATCAATTATAAGAACAATTATAAATTTGTGAGACTAATAATTCTTTTGTACAATCAAAAATTAAAAAAAAAAAAAAAAAAAAAAAAAAAAAAAACTTAAAAAAGGCATAAGCGTGTGATATGAAAGCGCGCGCGTGTACATGAGATTATTATACGTGAGACTCGTTTTTTAGGAAATTAAGTCTTAAAAATGAAAACTAGAAACAAAGATAGAAAATAAAATACAAAGTGAAAAAAGTATTAAAGAAGCCTCAAGTTAAGAACGAGAGAGGAGAAGATATAACTGATATAAGAAAATTATATTAAAGAAGTAGATCTATATATATTATTATGTAAAATGGACAGACCTCAAGCACACAAATTAAAAGTTAGCAACGTATACTAAACTCATTATTTATAACGCACAAAATTGAGAGGAGGGGAAGCTGTAAGAATTTAGGCGCATTGGAAATAATATAAACGATACAGGTCAGCTTTTTTGACATAGAAAAAGGCGTTACAAATAATGCTTGAAAAATAAGGAATAAACAATGCACAAACTAATAAAGTCGTACTGAGGAGATGCGTGTATATGGTTCGAATAGAAATGTGTATGCTTGCCTCGCCTACACAGTTTATGAACTTAATTTAAATAGAGGAACTTAACAGTCTTATAAAAAGTGAATTTGAATTTGTATTTAATCTCGAAAAAAGTGTTAAAAATTGGCTAAAAGTTGGTGTGAGTCTTACTTAGAGATTACTTAGAGATTACTACTGTTACTCTTAGATGTTCTCTTATTAAACACTTAGTACTATAATTTATAATTCATAAAAATACATTAGTGTTTTGAGAAAAAAGCAAACGAATTAGGTAGTGTAAATACCAGATTCTCATCAGGAAATGGTTATGGTATTGACCCTTTTGAGGGGGTCTCTACCCTGGTATTATGACGTTTTGAATGTTTAATTCACTAACTTCTAAAAACTCCCATCGGAGTCTAATCATCGAAATCAGTATAAAAAACCCATTCCGACGTCAAGCCTTGCTCATGTTGCAACACTAAAAGGACACACTACTCGGAGCCAATTACCCTGACATTAACTATATAGTATAAACACTAATATATTCTTTTTAGAAGTAATAGCGAAAAAATGCAACGCAACAAGAGAGAACATATGATATATGTAAAACTGAAATATATAAAATAAAATTACTTAGTGGCACATAGTTAATTGGAAACACTTAAAGTATCAATAGATACATATAGATTGCACTATTTGATACAATGAGTGGGATTGATACTGTTAAGACAGGCTTATAATTATAAGAGGTGTATAGCACTTACAATAATTACTTAATAAAACAAAATTCTCAATGATTAGAAAATAAAAATTAGAAATTAAAAATTAGAAATTAAAAAAATAGAAATTAAAAATTAGAAATTAAAGACTAGAAAATGTACCATTGTGTCTTTGCAAACTCTTTTGGAGCTTTGAAAAAAACTGTTTGTTGAGGATCTTTTAGATGCCATGGTGAAATTTATTGTAGATTAGACAAGACTATATAATAATGCGTAAGCTTCTTTGTCAGACGATTGTGGCACTTAATGAGAAGAAAGTTTGTACTATTATTTGTAATTTAGTTAGAGAAGGTGAAGAAATTTAAATGACATGACAAGTACGTTAATTCATTCACAATGACTAGAGTGCGGAAATTCAGTAAACTTGAAAACTAGACTAAGGAAATGCAATAGAACTTAACGGTGTCCTGTATGTTTTTAGAAAGGTGAAATAATTAACATAATGGGACTTTTTAATGGAGATATGGAAAATGTGTCATAAAAATGTGTGATTTTATGTTATTTAATTTATTTTAATTAACTATATTATTTTTACATGTTCTACAAAGGAAATATCAGATATAGTTGAAATCTTCATCGTTAAAAAATATGTTTGCATTTTCTGATAAGAACTTAATTGTTTTTTTAGTTTCTTTGTCTGTGTTTTTATCTCTATGGTGTTTGTTTACTTCGTTTACTTCATCTTGCAAAAAAGCTTTTATGCACGTTGCGATTTCGTCTTCATCGGCTTTAGTTATCTGATAAAAGAAAAGAGGACTTTTAGTCGCATGCTTATACCTATTTTTTATCTTAGTATTGTGTTCGCTTATATTCTATCCTAGTATTGTGTTCGCTTAGCTTACCTGTCACGCGTATAAATCTTAACATGCGTACACACTCACTCACTCACACGCGTACACATATAAGCGTATACATATATACGCATGCGTATACACGTGTATAGTTAAGATTTTATAGGTGCTTTCGTGTAACTAAAACAAATCAAACTCATGTATTGGTTTATAATAAATTTATCGTTATTCAAATAACACATACGAAATATATATCTTTACAAAAAGTATAAAAATTATTATGTCTGAGAATTATTGACTTTTAAAATAGGTTACTAAGATTGAGGGGACTTCATGTTTCTAATTCATGTGTTAAACGGATATGGGGTTTGCTTGTTTGTTGACATTGAATATTCAAGAAGATAATTCTTTTTAAAATTTAGTGCGAATTAATTGATCGTGTAGGTTTTTTTGATTGGAGTATATTTTTAGAGGTTTCTCACCTAATATTTTACTAAGCACTGGATCATTTTGAATAATTCTCCAGTGCTTGGTGGTCATTTTCATGATCTCTTTACCTGTCGCATCATATGGTAGTACTATTGGTATTCCATTGTTGAAGGATTTCTTTTTGTCAGATATTGGTTCTGTTGTTATTGGCTTAAATATTAGATTTTTTTGTGTCGAGGATAAGGCTTTGTTTATTTCTTGATTAATTACTTCTATTGGGTAGTTCTTTATTACTAGAGTTTTTGCTAATTTTTCGAGTTCTGTTCGTAAGTCGACTTCTTTTGAGACAAGTCTGTTTAGTCTTCTTGCTTGGCTATAGACGATTCCGATTTTTTGGTGTCTAGGGTGGTTGGAATGGAAGTTAAGTAAGGATAGAGTATCAGTAGGCTTTTTGTAAATGGTAGAGGAGATGGTGTTGTTCTCGTTTTTTGTTAAGGTGAGGTCCATGAAACTAACGGATTTAGTTGAGGTATCAAAGGTAAACTTGATATTTTTATGTAGGCTATTCATGTAGGTTTTCAATTCATCTAATTCACTGAGAGTGCCTTCAAATATTAGCAGGACATTATCAATAAATCGTTTATATAGGCTTATGTGGTTCTTGTATTTTTCAATAATTTTTTGGTCTAGTTCTCCCATAAAGATATTGGCATATGGAGGAGCCATCCTTGTACCCATTGATGTTCCAAATTTTTGATGGAAGGAGCGTGATCCAAACATAAAAGAACTGTTTTCAAGGATTAACTTGAGTAGGTCACAGAAGTGGTTGGTGGGTATTATTGGTGGGAGATTATTGGGGAGTTTAAGTAGTTTCCAGTTGTTGTTTAAGAAATTGCTTACTGCTCTGATACCATCGTCATGTGGGATGTTCGTGTAGAGAGACACTACATCTGCTGTAACTAATATATATTCTCTTCTTGGTAAAGGTGTTTCGCATAAGGTCTTTAGGAGCTCAGTGGAATCTTTAAAATAAGAAGGTAGGGACTCAGCAATAGGTAGTAAGTATTTGACGACGTATTCTGAGAGATTATCAGTGGGGCTTCCACATCCAGAGACAATCGGTCTCAGTGGTGTGTTTTCTTTATGTATTTTTGGTAGACTATAGAAGAGTGGGGTTCTCGCCTCAATCGTTGTTGGAAGCATGAACTCAGCAATTTTTTCAGGGATGATTAAGCAGTTCTTCATGTATAAGATTTTCTGTCAATAACTTTGTTTGTGATATTTTGTGTGGGATCGTATTCTAGCTCTTCGTATGTGTCTTTATCTTCTAACATTTTGAGAATTTTTTCTTCGTATTCTAACCTATCTATAACACAGATACCTCCGCCTTTGTCTGTTTTTTTGATCACAATGTTACGATTTTTTATGAGCTTTTTGAGTGCGGCGTATTCTTCAGGCTTCATATTCATAGCATCTTTTCTTTTCTGTTCTTTTGTGATTCTTTTTGATTCATTATCAATGATTTCACAGAATCTTTTTAGTTTTATGTTCTTATCTACTGGTGGTAACCAATTTGGGTTAGGTCTTGAAAAAAGGTTTTTTTTGTTTTTGTTGCGATTTTCGTTGTTCTTGTGGTTGTTTTTGTTGTTATCAATAATATCTTGTTTTTCGAAGAACATTTTGCAGTAAATTCTCCTTTTGAATTTTTGAATTTGGCTTGTATACAGATTAAAAATGGGTTTTTGGGGCTTAACTATCCATTTTAGCCCTCTTTCGAGTAGATCGAATTCGTCGTTGCTTAGGAGTTCTTTTGAGAGGTTAGTGATGGATTTGTTTCTCATATTTCTTTTTATTTCGTTTATAGTTTTTGTGAGACACATCTTATATTTATTGTTAAGTTTTTCTCTCCAATGAGGTAGGAAGAGTTTTCTGTGTGATAAGGCTATAGGTTGTCTTGCTACGTCGTTTGCTTTGTACAGGAATTCTGATATAGATGTTATCGTTTGTCGGGGCTAAATAGTATAGAAGGTAAAGAAAAATATATATATATATATATTTTTTTTTATAGGTTTATACTTATATTTTAAATTAATAGTTGATATTTATATTTTTCTATTTATTAATATATTTTATATTTATTTTAATTTATATTTTATTTTATAAGAAGTTTCTGCCGATATTTTATTATTATATTCTTTATATTATTTTATTATTTGTACGAATTTATACTCACAGTATTATTAGTGTAAAAAGTATAATATGAGTTTTTACACGATTAACATGTTGGGGTGGAGGTAGCTGCGATAGGGTTTGTACGCTACATAAGTGTATAGTGTCCTCTTTAGGTGGGTAATATAGAGGGGTTCATTATTTCAATTTGGAGATCAGGTTTTGTTACAGTAAAATAGATTAATTCTATTTGTATTCAGTCAGGGTTTGGGTTAGGGTTAGGGTTAGGGTTAGGGTTAAGGTTAGGGTTAGGGTTAGGGTTAGGGTTAGGGTTAGGGTTTGTGTTTATCCGAGATAATCAGACAAAGTCTGTTTACTCGATATGCAAGCTGGACCTGTCAGCCTAAGGGAAGAAAAAAGGAAACAATTATTACGATATAAGTAATAGATTTATGCAAAGTTTAGACAGGTGTCTAGAGAGAAGTTCAAAGATTAAGGATTACGGGGACAAAAAAGAATTGTCGCTCTTTTTTTTATTTTTTATATAAGTAATTATTTATTATTTTTTTATTAATTTAAACTTATTGAGTGATCATAGTTTATTTAGATTTTAATTAATTAAAGTTATATTTTATTGTTTAAAGTTATTCTTTAATTATTTTAAATTTTTTGAGAGTTATATTTTGAACGAAGTTTAGCAAAAATTTAGATTTTTTATTAGTGGATTGATATGGTTGAAGTGAATTAATGAGGGGATCTAGGTATCTCTTCAGGGTATGCGTTGGTCGTGGCTTCCCAACTATTATAACACACGCTGATCCAATTCCAGCGAAGCAAACAAGCTAAATGATCTTTAACCCGTACTTAAAACGATGTCGGGTAAGCCGTTGCAAGTTGAACTTCTTACGGCAAGATCTTAACCGACACTTCACATAAGGAGCAGAGCATTATAAAAGCAGCTAAAACCACCACAAGACGAATAGCCAAGCGATAGCGTAGATGTAGGAGTATCGGTTCATGGTATTAGTAGAGGGTAGATTCTATTTTATGCTATAATTTTAAAGGTTAACTTTGTTTATTTGAATTTATCAGAGCGTACACTTATTTATTTTCAGCAAGATAGGTTTAAAGGTTTAAGATAAAACAAAGATGGGGGGTCCCGAAAGATCAAAAAGATACAAATTTGCTATTCCCCTCTGTCAAGATATTGTTATAGTAATGAGTAAGAAGACGTCGTGGTCCCCGAGCATCTACCCTCTTTGCAGAGGTGTGTTAGGGTTTGTGTTTATCCGAGATAATCAGACAAAGTCTGTTTACTCGATATGCAAGCTGGACCTGTCAGCCTAAGGGAAGAAAAAAGGAAACAATTATTACGATATAAGTAATAGATTTATGCAAAGTTTAGACAGGTGTCTAGAGAGAAGTTCAAAGATTAAGGATTACGGGGACAAAAAAGAATTGTAGCTCTTTTTTTTAATTTTTTATATAAGTAATTATTTATTTTTTTATTAATTTAAACTTATTGGGTGATCATAGTTTATTTAGATTTTAATTAATTAAAGTTATATTTTATTGTTTAAAGTTATTCTTTAATTATTTTAAATTTTTTGAGAGTTATGTTTTGAACGAAGTTTAGCAAAAATTTAGATTTTTTATTAGTAGATTGATATGGTTGAAGTGAATTAATGAGGGGATCTAGGTATCTCTTCAGGGTATGCGTTGGTAGTGGCTTCCCAACTATTATAACACACGCTGATCCAATTCCAGCGAAGCAAACAAGCTAAATGATCTTTAACCCGTACTTAAAACGATGTCGGGTAAGCCGTTGCAAGTTGAAATTCTTACGGCAAGATCTTAACCGACACTTCACATAAGGAGCAGAGCATTAGAAAAGCAGCTAAAACCACCCCAATACGAATAACCAAGCGATAGCATAGATGCAGGAGTATCGATTCATGGTATTAGTAGAGAGTGGACTTCCTAACTATTCAAACGGTACTGATCCAATTCTAGCGAAGCAAACAAGCTAAATGATCTTTAGCCAGCTTCAATCATTGCTGGGTCAGCAGTTGCCCCCTCAGTCAGTTGATTTACTTGCGGCTAGATCTTAACCGACACTTCACATTAGGAGCAGATCGTTGGAACAGCAGCAGAGTACCACCTCAAGATAAATCACCATAGCGATAGACCAGATATTGGGTTTTGATTATGGAGGTAGAAAGATATAAGAGTTTCTTATTTTATTTAATAGGTTTTACACACATATATTGATATATCTTTTAATAGTTTAAAGTTATTGAGTACTTATGGTTTATTTTGGTTTTAATTGTTTAAATTTATATTTTTTAAAAATTATATTTTAATTGTTTAAATTTATGTTTAAAGGAGATTATACAAAAATTATTTTTTATTAATGAATTAGTTTGGTTAAGCAAGTCAAAAAAGGAAGAAAAGGTAAAAGATCTAAGTATCGATTCAGGGTATCGGTTGGTAGTGGCTTCCCAACTATTCAAACACACACTGATCCAATTCCAGCGAAGCAAACAAGCTAAATGATCTCTAACCCGTACTGAGAAACGATGTCGGGTAAGCCGTTGCAAGTTGAACTTCTTACGGCGAGACCTTAACCGACACTTCACATTAGGAGCAGAGCATTAGAAAAGCAGCTAAAACCACCCCAATACGAGTAACCAAGCGATAGCATAGATGCAGGAGTATCGATTCATGGTATTAGTAGAGAGTGGACTTCCTAACTATTCAAACGGTACTGATCGAATTCTAGCGAAGCAAACAAGCTAAATGATCTTTAGCCAGCTTCAATCATTGCTGGGTCAGCAGTTGCCCCCTCAGTCAGTTGATTTACTTGTGGCTAGATCTTAACCGACACTTCACATTAGGAGCAGAGCGTTGGAACAGCAGCAGAGTGCCACCTCAAGATAAAATACCATAGCGATAGACCAGATTTTAGGTGTTGATGGTGTAGATTGGTGTTGATGAGGAGGTCAATATGAGAGTCTTTTTTAGAGTTTTTTTCTAGAAATTTTTTACTATTCTGGTTTAAATTTATGGGTGGAGCATATTAAAAATTATTAAAGTTATACTACGTTAAAAAATTTTTTTAGTATATATATTTTTATTTAATTGATTTTTAATTAAAACTATTTTAATATATATTATTATTATTATTTAGTTGATAGTTTTTTCAAAAAATTGGTTATGTTATGTTTAAATTTATTATACATTTTAAATTAGTTGGAAATTAAATATATTTAATAGAAGGAAGGTTATGTGAAATGATTCAGGTACAAATGTAAGAAATATATAAATGGCATGGGTTGATTGAGGCTTACTGAGTAAATGTATGTGCGTTTTTATCTCACTTTGAGAGTATACTGAGGAGCTGAAATGGTATTAAAATTGTTGAGATATGTGTATTTCGCTAAGAATGAGTGGATGAATGGTGTTAAAATGAAAAAAGTAGAATGAAGAAAATAACGACGACTGCGGGAAACGAACCTGGGTCTCCGCGGCGAAACATCATGACTTATCTTAATGAGCTAAACGATCTTATACTTACTAGAAATTTATGTTTATATTTTCTAAAATTAAAAAGCTATAATGGGTGAACTTGATGATAGAGATATGAATGCACATATAGAAATATGTACGATATATAGGGTCAACAAATGGTTATGTCAACCTGTAATTGTGTGAGAAAGATAAGGACATGCGCAGTGGAAATCTAAAATTATGACTTAAAAGAAAAGGTATAAATAGTTATGGGCACTCTGTGCTTTGAGTTTATCCGAGATAATCAGACAAAGTCTGTTTACTCGATATGCAAGCTGGACCTGTCAGTCTAAGGGAAGAAAAAAGGAAACAATTATTACGATATAAGTAATAGATTTATGCAAAGTTTAGACAGGTGTCTAGAGAGAAGTTCAAAGATTAAGGATTACGGGGACAAAAAAGAATTGTAGCTCTTTTTTTAATTTTTTGTATAAGTAATTATTTATTTTTTTATTAATTTAAACTTATTGAGTGATCATAGTTTATTTAGATTTTAATTAATTAAA